CTGATGTTGATGAAATTCCTCAGATGCTGTTTGTCTATGAAGGTCTTTATTTTTCCCTCATGTTTGAAGGATATTTTCACCAGATATACTATTTTAGTGTAAAAGGTTTTTTCTTTTCTTTAGCACTTTAAATATGTCATGCCCCTCTCTCCTGGCCTATGAGGTTTACAGTGAGCAGTCTGCTTCCAGACGTATTAGAACTCCATTGTATATTATTTGTTTCTTTTCTCTTCTGCTTTTATGAGCCTTTCTTTATCCTTGACCTTTGGGAGTTTGATTATTAGATACCTTGAGGTGGTCTTCTTTGGGTTAAATCTGTTTGGTGTTCTATAACCTTCTTATACTTGACTGTTGATAACTTTCTCTAGATTTGAGAGGTATTCTGAAAATATCCCTTTCAGTAAACTTTTTGGGTTTTTTGGGTTCGTTTGTTTGTTTGTTTGTTTGAGGCAGAGTTTCACTCTTGTTGCTCAGGCTGTAGTACAATGGCATGATCTCAGCTCACTGCAACCTCCACCTCCCGGTTCAAGCAATTCTTCTGCCTCACCTCCTGAGTAGCTAGGATTACAGGTGTCTGCCATCATGCCTGGCTAATTTTTTTTTTTTTTTTTTGTATTTTTAGTAGAGATGGAGTTTCACCGTGTTGGCCAGAACTGGGTCTTTTCCTTCAAGGCAGGTTCCTTTTCTGGCCCAGGGTATGTCTAGAAATGTCTGGAAGCTAGAGCTTAGAATGGGGGCCTCAGGTCTCTGCCTGGTACCCTGTCCTGTTATGGCTGAGCTGTTTTCCAAGATGCAAAACTTAATCCTCTTTACATTTCTCTCTCCTCTCCTCAAGCAGAAGGAAGGTGTCACTTTATTTGCTGCAAGCTGTGCTGCCTGGGGTTATTGAGATGGTGATGCAAGCCCTCCTTTAGCCACTCCCACTGATGTCTCACTAGGTCACATGCTGCCCTAGTCCACTGGCTCTAAGCCCAGTCCAGCACTAGGATTTGCCTAGGAATAATTGCAGTCTTTGTGTCCTAGACTGCCTTTCAGGTTTATCTAGAACCGCCCCCCACCCAGAGCACTTTAGCCCACTGTGGCAAGGCTTGCTGAGAAACTCAAGTTCCGACTGCTGGGATGGGCAATTCCCCTTTGGCTAGGGCTGATCCAAATGCCCCCTCCATGGGTAGGCAGTGGCTGAGCCCAGCACAGGTTGGCTCTCTGCTGTCACAGGGCAGCACTGAGTTCAATGCCAGGTCACCCATTAGCTGTGCTTTGCCTCTCCCATAAGCACAAATTCTCCACAGTACATAACTGCTGCTGGAAGGTAGGTGAGGAGTGGTGTTGGCGATTCAAGACTGCCTTTCCTACCCTCTTCAGTGCCTCTTTCAGCGAGGGGAAGTTAAAACCAGGAACTGTGACTGATTACCTGATTGTCAGTTCTGATGATGGTGCTATTTTATGTGTGGATAGTTGTTAAAATTTGGTGTTTCTGTAGAGGGGAATGATCGGTGGAAGCTTCTATTCAGGCTTCTATTCATCTTGCTCCACCTCAGAACTATTGTGTTTTCTTATTTGAGAATGAGGCTTCATGTTTGCATAAAGAAAAAGTTTATGTGTATAATTTATATTGATTTTAAAAAGTAACTTCCATGTTGTATTTCCAGGTTAAAAAGTGAAACTCTGGAGTACTACAACCATGGATAGCTCAGCAATCCATTCAATAAATGTTCATTAAATGCTATATGTCACAAGCCCTCTGTATGATGCTGAGAGTATTGTGGTGAACATATGAGGCAAGGCCGAGCACCATGTCTTACCTATGAGATACAAATCAGTCCATGACTTGATCCAATGTGAGGGCTCCACTTTTCAGCTGTGGCCTCCATAGTCTTCTTGCCACATGTTGCTGGAGCCAGAACAGGGACCCTGAAGCATTTAGGCAGATAACAGACAATGTTCAGAGGAACAGGGGGAGGGAGGGCAGGCATTTACCAGTCTATGTTAAGGAAAGCAAAACCTCCCTTGCAATACAATCAATAGACTTTAACATTAAAATAAACTTGGAGCAATTGCAAACATAGTGACAGAATTGACTGCTTTGATAAAAGCAGTTGATGCGTCCCAGCTATAAAGGCACCGTATAAAAAGAATGTTGGGTTAGACCGACTGGAGAGGACCAGCAGAGCCAGAACAGTAGGAAACCATCTGAAGACAGGTTTCCTATTCACAATGATTAAATTCATCAATACCTGATAAGGGGAGACTGGACATTCATGTTGGAACTCACTGTACACAAACTGCAGTTTGCTGTATGTAATTATTCTCAAGTAAATTATAGAGTAATCTATATATGTTCTCATGTCATAGTACAAACTGGATCATTTTGTGTCCCTTTTTTGTCATTAAAAGCCATGTATTAAAGACCCTCCAGAATGAGATCTTTGCAGGCAGGGACTACAATTTATCATGTTTACTGCTATATCCACAGGACCCAGTACACGTCCTGTGCATAGGCCATTGTCTGTTTTCTGGCTGCCCAGGCCTTTTGAGCACCCTTTCCTGTTTAGGAAATGTCTCACCTTATAAATACTACCTCTCTAAAGTAAAACCAGAAAACACATTTACCCAGCTTTCCTTGTAGTTAGAGGCATGCTACCTAGGCTTCACCAACCGGATGCACCCACAAGAAACTTCCATTCAGAGTGAACAACACAACACAAGGAAGCAGGTGTTACTTCAAATCCATTTTTTTCTGGAAAGAGTAACAACTGAAACATCAGGCTTTCTCCTCCAGGACGCTTTCCCTGAACATTCCCCTTCATCTCCAGGTAGACTGAGCTAGATATCCCCCCTTTAGTTCTACTTTTTCATTGCACTTTCCCATTTGTATTATAAATATTAGCATCTTTTATTACCTTCTAATCGTCTGTAATAGTTAAGATGATACTAGCTGCTCTAACAACAAACCAAAAATATACGGTGAATCAAACACAATAGAAGTACCTTAAATAACTAAAAGGAGATCTACCATTTGATCTAGCAATCCCACTCTTGGATATCTACCCAGAGGGAAATAAGTCAATAAATGAAAAAGATACTTGCACATGCATGTTTATAGCAGTACAATTTGCAATTGTGAAAATATGGAACCAGCCCAAATGCTCATCAATCAATGAGTGGATAAAAAAAATGTGGTATATATACACCATGGAATACTAGTCAGCCATAAAAAGGAACAAAATAATGGCTTTCATAGCAACCTGGATGGAATTGGAAACCATTATTCTAAGTGAAATAACTCAGGACTAAAAAAAACCAAACATCGTATGTTCTCACTTATAAGTGGAAGCTAAGCTATGGGGACGCAAAGGCATAAGAGTGACACAGTGGACTTTGGGGACTCAGGGGAAAGGCTGGGTGGGGGGTGAGGGATAAAAGACTACACATTGAGCACAGCGTACACTGCTTAGGTGATGAGCGCACCAAAATCTTAGAAATCACCACTAAAGCTGGGTGCGGTGGCTCACGCCTGTAATGCTAGCACTTTGGGAGGCCAAGGCAGGCAGATCACAAGGTTAAGAGATCAAGACCATCCTGACCAACTTGGTGAAACCGCATCTCTACTAAAAAAAAATTATAAAATTAGCTGGGAGTGGTGGCATACGCCTGTAGTTCCAGCTACTTGGGGGGCTGACGCAGGAGAATTGCTGGAACCAGTGTGGCAGAGGATGCAGTTAGACGAGATCATGCCACTGCACTCCAGCCTGGCAACAGAGCGAGACCCCAGCCCAAAAAAATAAAGAAAAGAAAAGAAATCACCACTAAAGAACTTTTTCATGTAACCGAACACCACCTGTTCCCAAAAAAACAATGAAATAAAAAATATGTTAAAAAAGTTTCTTTTCTAATCATATGAGGTCGAAACAGGGTACTTAGGATGAGCAGACAGCTCTTCTGCAAGTGATGATTCTGGGATCCAGGCATCTTCCATCTACCTTGTGGCTCCACCATCTGTACCACGTGGCTAAAGGGTACCATTCTCATCTGAATCAGGCTGGAAGGCAAAGGGCATGGAGAATCACACACTGTGGGGCTTTATAAGCAAGGCCCAGCAGTGATGCTGATAATTTCTGTTCATATTCTATTGCCCAGAACTCAGCTTCATTGCAATCCCTAAATGGAAAATACAATCGAGCTTCCTTCAGGTAAGAATACATCAACATTAGAAAGTCATGATACTGTTGGGCACAGTGGCTCACGCCTGTAATCCCAACATTTTGGGAGACCAAGGTAGGAGGATTGCTTGATCCCAGGAGTTTGAGACCAGCCTGGGCAACATACTGTAGAAATGAGGTCTACAAAATAAAAAAAAATTTTAATGAGGCAGGAGGATCACTTGAGTCCAGGAGGTTGAGGCTGTAATGAGCTGTGATCATGACACTGTACTCCCACCTGGATGACAGAACAAGACCCTGTGTTGAAAGAAAGAAAGAAAGAGAGAGAGAAGAAGAGAGGAAGGAAAGGAAGGAAGGAGGGAAGGAAGGAAGGAAGGAAGGAAGGAAGGAAGGAAGGAAATGAAGGGAAGAAAGAAAAAGAAAGTCATGATAAAGTGCCATATCTTAACTTTCTGTCATTTCTCTTGTTTCTTCCTTTTTGGGAAGGAAGAATGACCAATGCTAAGGCTAATATACTAGCCCTGTGCAAATCACAGATGTGACTGATCTGGATTCCCTTTACTTGGCTCTCCACTGCTTTTATGCTAAGCATTTCTGTTTAGGGGGCACATATTCATTGGATAGTTATTTCTGAATGCTTTGCCTGAAATTGCTTTTATCTCCAGGCTCCCCATGTGTCGGTTTGAAAGGGAAAGTGCTTAGCATGCAGCCTGGGTGCCACATATGTTCCGAGTTGCTGGCACATGGAAGGCTTAGGAGGTTCCAAATCATTGCCTATTGGCCACCCACAGGCTAATGAAGGAAATGTCTTTTCATTTTCTCTGCTTCTCTCGGACTTAGGTGCCTTATCAGCCGCCAGGGAGAGCTGGGAATACGATTCTGGTGCCAGGGACCTCCAGAGCCCAGATGTGCAGAGCCAGTTAGCCCTCCAGAAGCTGCTCGAGTATAGTGGAAGCTCTTTGCATCAGCAAGCTGCTCTCCACAAACAGCTCACGCAGTCCTCGCATGCTGGTAACTCTGTAGGAGGAAGCTACCTAGAGCTCGCCAACACGGTGAGTACTTTTTGGTTCATGGAACACATCTTTCAGCCTGTCTGTATTCCAATACAAATATTTTAATTTTGAGCTCCAGGGGACATATCGGGTATTGTCTTCTTTATTGAGGTAAAGACTGTACCATTTCCAGCATTGTCAGTAATGTTTAGTGCTCCAAAGTTGCCAGCACTTAGGAACTTCACTCTCATCAAGACCAGAGTAGACTCCTAAAAGGTGTTTTAATTAAGGCTGTAACTTGCACACGTTTAATTACTAGAAGAGGCACAACAGCACTTCCATACTAGAATTCTTCTGTGGTTGTAGGCGTTACAAATTCATAGGATATACTTGTTTCTGTTCCCTAATTTGGACTTTACTCATTTGAAAAACAAAAAGGAAAATATTGCATTGAAGTTTTCTTGTTTCTGGTTATACTTTAAGAGTATTTTCTGTTGAAAACTGTGGGACAACTTAGAATGTCATTATGTGTAGTTTACCTTCCTTTTTAATTGCAAGATGAGTCACTACAACAGCAACCTTTGAGCAAAGAGCTATTGTTTTCTAAGTCAGGGCTGCTAAATGAAGGGGGTGGCCGATGGCCTGGCCATTTTGGGTGACGTGCAGACAGTACAAATTGAGATTGCTATCTATCCAGCCACTGTGGAAAAGGTCCAAAAGCCTACCTGGCTTTTTGAAACTAAAGGTCAAATGGTAGACTAAACGTCTCAATAACCTTGACTCGCGCTACTTTACTGTCTGCTTTGATGTAGACCAGTGGTTCTCAAACTCTTTGTGTTTGAGGCACACTTTCTAATTCTGACACTTTTGGTGGGATGTTGGAAGGAACTAGCAATTAAAAATATGGTGACAGTAATTAAAATATAATCATCAGAAAAATTCCAATTAAATGACATTCTACAAAATACATAGCCAAAACTCCTCAAAACTGTTAAGGTTATTAAAAGCAAGGAAAGTCTGAGAAAGAGAAACTGTTTACCTAAGAGAAGCCTAAGAAAAATATGACAACTAAATGTAATGCATACCCTCAACGGAGTCCTGGATCAGAAACAAAGGGGATATTAGATTAAAACACACATGCATGCGTGTGCATGCTCACACACACACACACACACACACACACACCAGGGAGGCCTAAATAAAGTATGGGCTTTAGTTAATAAGTTAATAATAGTGTATCAACATCAGTTCATTAATTGTGACTAGCATACCATAATAATGTAAAATGTTAAAAACAGGGAAAACTATTTGTCAGATATGTGAGAACTCTCTCTCCTATCTCTGCAAATTTTGTCTAAAACTTTTTTTTTTTTTGAGACAGAGTTTCGCTCTTGTTGCCCAGGCTGGAGGGCAGTGGTGCAATCTCGGCTCACTGCAACCTAC